TCTCTCTCTCTCTCTCTCTCTCTCTCTCTCTCTCTCTCTCTCGATTGCTTGCCCGCTCACTCTCCAACACCCCTCATTGACATGTGCACACTTCAAAACACCTACTCCCTTCCTTACACCCCCTCTCCCCCTTAAACACACAAACGTACGTGCACACACACACACAAACACACACACACACACACACACACACACACACACACGCACACACACACAAACACACAAACACATACACATACACACACACGGACAAACACACACAAACTTTAGTAAAAACCACAAAACACCGGAACACTCACTAATAACTCATCTTCAACCCCCCCCACCCCCTACCCTCTTCCATTCTTTCCAGACATCCCAGTCCGAGGGCCTGGCACTAGTCAACTGTCTACTGGACCCCGCCAAGACCCTGACCAAACTACACATCGGTGACGACATCTTCATCTGTATACAAGTCAGTGTTGTCATGGCGATGATGCCATACATTTGTATCTTTTTTAAAATAACTCGTCTTATACTTACTCGTATTAAATTTATTTTGAGACATGTATTCTAACTTAGTGCGGCTGATTGTTAAAATAGATTAATTCTTTCTTTGATCTCTTTCTCATAGGGTAAGGGCCTGTAAAAATTCTTATCTTAACCCCCCCCCACCCCTTATAAAACAACGAGCAAACAAACAAACTAAACAACAATAATAACAATAACAACAATAATAATAAAACAACAACAAACAACAACAAAACAGCAACCCCCAACCAAAAATAACAACACCACCCCCCAAAAAACAACAACAACAACAAAAAAACCTACTACTACTAGTATCAGTGGTCACATTTAAAGTATCTTTCACTAGGTACAGTGCCTTTTACCCTTTCTATTTTATCATCATTCGTCATCCATTTTATTCTCTTACTTTTTGTCTTCAGGGCATTGGCCACACTTTCATCGGGACAAGCGTACGCAACCACTCCATGGTGATCGTAGCTCACAAAGACAGCGATCACGTGGTCGTAGTGATTGGCCATTCAGCGGGCAGAGGTTCCTTCATCTTTGAACTCAAGCGGGGTTTGAGCCTGAAGGCTCAGGGACAGCTGCTCAGCCAACAGCAGCAGCAGCAGCAGCAACAGCTTTTGCCGATAGACTCTGAAATTGATGTAGTCATAGGGGGTGCCGCAGCTAGTCCTGAGAGTGTTCTGGTGGATCTGATGTCTTAGTTCTGTTCTTCAATTTGTCTTGTGTGGGTTGACAAGTTTTTCGATTGCTGAAGTACTTGAGTAATAACTGACAAGTGATTCCATTGGTCGAGTACTTTAGTAATGACCGGCAAGTGATTCTGTTCTGCGCTAAGTACTGATCGGCACAATCTTAGATTGCGCTGCAGGTTTTAACGATCGTACAATTAAATGCACGGCAATCTGAAGTTTGCGTTAAATTTTTTAAATAATTTTTTTTTCAATTCACTTCCATCTTTATTCTTTTACTCACATCAAGGAACATTCACATATATTTTTTCAAAAATGTAAAAAATATGAAAATTTAAATTAAAATTAAATTTAAAAAAACATATTAAAGTGAAGAGCTCACAAGAATGATACAATTATAATACGATCGCTAAAACAGGCAGCGCAATCTTAAGATTGCACCAATCGATAATACGCACACAACAATTCCATAGCTCTAGTACTGGAATAATGATCGACAATTGATTCCATTGCTCTAGTACTTGAGTAATGACTGACAAGTGATTCTGTTCCGCGCTAATTATTGATCAGCACAGATTGTGCTGCGCGTTTTAACGAATGTATAATTGCGCAGCAATCAGAAGATTACGTTAATATTTTATTTTGAAATAATAAAAAAAATTCACTTCCTTCTTTATTCTTTTACACACATCAAGGAACATTCACATTATTATTTTTAAAAGTGTAAAAAAATTGAAATTAAAATTAAAATTAAAATGAAACTGAAGATCTCACAAGAATGATACAATTATACGATCGTTAAAACGTGCAGCGCAATCTTAAGATTGCACGGATTGGTAATTTGCATGGAACAATTCCATTGCTGTAGTACTTGAGTAATAACTGACAGATGATTCCATTGCTCTAGTACTTGAGTAATGACTGACAAGTGATTCCTTAAGTCGTGTACTTGAGTAATGACTGACAAGTGATTCCTGAAGTCGTGTACTTGAGTAATGACTGACAAGTGATTCCTTAAGTCGTGTACTTGAGTAATGACTGACAAGTGATTCCATTGCTCTAGTACTCGAGTAATGACTGACAAATTAAAATATTTCATTTCTTTAGTACTTCAGTAATGACTGACACATGATTATATTGGTCGAGTACTTGAGTAATGACAGACAAGTGTTTCCATTGCTCTGTATTGAGTAATGGATGGACACATGATTCCGTTGGTCAAGTACTTGAGCATTGGCGAATGTTAAGCAAGGGTATAATGATATTTTAATGAGGACTTGTCCAAAAACGGTTGCTATATATCTAACAGGTCTAACAACGAAACTGCAAGTACAAGCCCCCCCTT